GTGCGTTTTAATGTAAACCGCACCTGGAGGGTGCGTTCTAATCTGGTGGGCCTAAATCGCACCTTGGCAATGCGTTTTCATGTCTGGCCTACATGAAACGCATGGCCGAGGTGCGGTTTAGGTCTGACCTACCTAAACCGCACCATAGAGATGCGATTTATTCCTCCAAGAACGAACCGCATCTGTAAGGTGCGGTTTAGCCATATAGATCGCACCCCCCAAGTGCGGTTTAACCTTGTAGATCGCACCCCCCAAGTGCGGTTTACGTGCCAATTATTTTCCTGCCACCCGACAGCCATGCAGAGAATTATGCACGTAGGGCTACATGGCTGACTAAAACCGCACCCTAGAGGTGCGGTTTTCACAATTTTTTCCCCTATATAAGACTTGCCGGAAAACCTCTACTCTTCACACCTCTCATTCTCTCTTTCATTTTTCTGTTGTATATCTATATTTATTTAGTGTGTTTGCCATTAAGATTAACTCGTAAGTTTTTTTTTGTTACTTTTTATGCCATTAACATTAACTCGTAACTTTATCTTGTGTTACTTTTTATGCCATTAACATTAACTCGTAAGTTGATTTTGTTTTACTTTTTATTGTGATTTGTGATTTTGATGATATTAACTAAACTACGGTTTGTTTGTGTGCAGATGGCATTCCGTCAGTTAACGCTTGGCTTACGGTGGAATGGTTACACGGAAGAGACCGGAAAGGGGGCCACCTACGTCGGTGGCAATTTTCAGAAAATAACGGTCGGTACTAGACCGAAGCTTGAAGACCTCCATCAAATATGCACTGACGCAACTTGCATGGATGGCACGAGGAGGGTAGATCGTATGGTGTACCGATACCCAAACAGAGCAACTGGGTCATTGTGGCATGAGGAATATACCATAACCACTCAAGATGACCTAGATTCCATGCTCGAATTCTTGTGGTCCAACAAATTGGCCAAAGCCGAGATGTTCGTTTACACCGAGCCAGTCGTTGGTGTTGGACGTCATTCTGGACACGGTCAAACATCTGGTATCCATGGTGGAGGTGAATTATATGACGATCATCCCTACCAAAGTTACCATGATCCTCAATCCTATTTTCAGTACCAAGATGGAGGGCAAGGTGCTGGCCATCATCAATCTTTCTCGTCATATGAAGAAGAAGTTCAACCGGACATCCCCAACCAAGCCCAGTACAACTTCATGACAGGCAGCGGTAGTTTTCACAACTACCATTATGGAGCTGATGAAGGTTCCTTTCATGAGCAGGATCAGATGGATTCTGCCACACCAGCACCAGTCAGCGACCCCTCTGATGAAGAAGGAGAGAACAACGTCAGTGCAGACAGCTCAGACCCTCTTGAAGGTGCTGATGATTCAGCACCAGATTCAGATTCAGATAATGATCATGATGTGGCCGCTGACCGTGTACCAGTCCCCTACTACAATCACATTCCAGACGACAATTGGATGGTCGACAGCGACATGGAGCCGCCAGAGGTCCCAATATGGGGCCCACTCACTGGGTTTACGAAGGGCCAACAATTTGGCTCGAAGAAGGATGTGCGGCACGCCCTTGAGACTGAAGCAATGACTCGGCATTTTGAATGGCACACAACTCATTCCAACACCAAAAGGCTCATAGTCAGATGCCGTAATCATCACGAGGGGTGCAATGTTAGGATTCGGGCCATCAACAGCAAGAGACACGGCCACTGGGTCATATCCCGTGCGGTCAACACACACACATGTGTGTCATCCATCACTTCCCAAGGCCATCGACAATTGAAATCCAGGGTGGTTGCTGCGGCTATTAAGCATCTGATTGAGGCTGAACCGGATCTGAAGGTGAAAGTCATAATCGCTGACATTGCAAGTCGTTTTGGTTATATGATTAACTATAAGAAGGCGTGGCATGGAAAGCAGAAAGCTATGGCCGCCGTCTATGGTGATTGGGAAGAATCATATGCATTCCTTCCCAGACTAATACTGGCATTGGAGGCGTCTAACCCTGGGACTGTGTTCTCCCCTCGATACCAAGATGAAGAGATACAACCCCCAAAGGCAGGTAACGAACGCCATTTTCGCAGACTGTTTTCGGCATTCAAGCCTTCTATTGATGGTTTTGGCTTTTGTATCCCTGTGATTACTGTGGATGGTACATTCCTTACCGGCAAGTACAAGGGCACTCTCCTGATTGCCAGTGGGGCGGATGCAAACAGACAAGTCTTTCCTTTAGCCTTCGCCATTGTTGAGGGAGAGAATGCTGATAGCTATGGATGGTTTTCCGACAAATCCAAATCCACGTCACCAGGAGGACGAACCTGACAATAATCTCTGATCGGCACGCCGGCATTAGAGCAGCCATCTTAGGCCTGGATCCAGCCTGGAATTGGTCCCAAAGGTGGTGCATACGAAACTTCAAAAGCAACTGGAACCATCATTTCAAGCGTAAGAAGCTAGCTGATAATTTGTGGTGGATTGGTAACCTCTCTAGTGCATCTCTTTATAAAGAGTCGAAGTAAGTGGCGCTATGTATTCGATTAAATTATTGAAAACCACCAACACGATTAAAAAATAAACATAAATTTATTTTATATTACAGTAGGCACATTAACAAAATAAAAGAAGGACAAATGGTGAAGAATTGTATGTACCGGGTGATCGTTCCAAACATCCCTTGACCGATGGTTGGGTTGGTCGTACAAGTCGGTTGGATCCACCGGTCCTTGCTCGAGATAATATCGTTGGTTGTATATATCGACGTCCTCCCCAACCTACGAGATAAAATAACAACGAGGTTAGTACATAGATTAATTAAAAAACTTATAACAACAATAAAAATTAAACCAGAATAATGAGTACATACCGCTTGAAATTCATCGACATAAACTCCTTCTCCTTGCCACCAATCGGCCATTTTTTCGGCGTAATTCGGACAGAGCTTCGGCTTGGCTCGGCGGGTTTTTGAGGAAAAAACCTAAGAAATATTTTCTGATGGCAGATCGGACTTAGCCGCAACCAACAGACTTTTATTTCCTAGGCTTTTGGGAGGGGAGGATTTAGAGAGATTATATCTAGAGAGAGAAGGAGAATGGGTTGTGTGGAGTGAAGAAATGAGAGGGGGAGGGGGGGTATTTATACCCAACAGATCGCACCCCTCATGGGCGGTAGGGTAATTTTACCCCGCAGAAATCGCATCTTCCCGGGGCGATCTACACGCCAAATCGCATTCCCCTGATGCGATCCCCGCGTCCCGATGCGTTGAACGCGCAGAAAACTGACGCTCCAATTTTCCAGGCGAGAAATCGCACCTCACCAGTGCGATCCACACACAGTCGCGCGGATTGCTGACGTGGCTATGCTGCAGCCCGTCAGATCGCATCTTAATCGTGCGATCCAGAAGGTCGCTGGCGACCAAATATGGAACGCATCTTGGGGATGCGTTTTACCTTAGAAATCGCATCTTAGGGGTGCGATTTATGAAGGAAACGCATCCTAAGGCTGCGTTTCATTTATAAAACGCACCCCTAAGGTGCGTTCCATTAAAATAGGTGCTAGTTTTGTAATTAGTTTTGGAAGGGTGTTAGTTTTGTAATTTTTTTTTTTTTAAGGTGCTATTATTGGAAAAATCTCTCCAAGACACCGGACCCTCACCAGACATCAGGGCTACAACCTAAACCTTCCATCTTCTCCATCAACCTAAGACCAGCGTCCATTTCACCAGCTCCGCACAATCTGTGTCTCATCGCGACATAAATGAACACATTCGCTCGATATCCCAAGGCCAAATTATGGCCGAGTCCATTCGTCTGTACTCGGAAATGACATTGACAGCCTCAGGGGAATTCAGTTTCAGAGGAGAAAGACATCAACTTGCCAAATTCCACAATGGAAGGCTTGAAATTCACACGGAGCATCCGCGTCTAGGGGCATCTTCGATGCTAGTGAAAGAAGAATTTGCAGACGCGATTCAGTTACTCCACAACGGAAACCGAGAGGGGTTTCGGTGGAAGATGATGCAACTGCGGAGGATTGATGTTCGCCAACAATTCGATGAACGGATAGTATATAGATACTAGGGGTGATAAACGGTTAGTCGGTTATCGGTTTTAACCGATAACCGAACCGATAAAGTCGGTTAGTGATTAATCGATAACCGCTACTTTCTTAGTGGTTTCGGTTAGTAGTATTTTGGTTAGTGGTTAACCGCTAACCGATTAATCGGTTAGCGGTTAACCGATAAGAAAACCGATAACCGCCTACTAATCTGACTACATGGTTTTTTATTTTGGCTATGGGAAAAAGTTGTAAGATTCAAAACTAATCAAAGTTGCAATTCCAAACATCCCAATTCTCACCTATTGCAAACAACCCTCCATCAAGAGTCTCAAATGTTTTTAAGAGTTAGAACTCGAAAGTCACCCCTCTCTAACTCCCCTTTGCACTCTATAGAGTGAACCTTAGGTTGATGACTATGGGCTAACTGAAGGTCTTGGAGTAAATGATGACTATGGGCTAGATGAATTGGAGCGAGATCCTCGGATCATTTAGGTTGATGATTTGGAGATGATGAACTTGTTATTTGTGTCTAGTTGTGATTGTGACTTGTCGTTGAATTGTGGGCATGTAGACTTTATGTTGTGGAGTTGTGGTTGAATTGTGTGGTTGCTTTAGGCTTTATGTTCAATAGATTTAGATGACTTTATGGTGTGTGATTATAGAGGCTGAAACAAAAGTAGGTCACTCAAAATTGAGGGTGAATCATTAAAAAAGGTGGTTCAAATTCGGTTTTGGGGGTCGACTTCTGACCGAAAATCAAAAAGCGAACCAGAACCTGCGGTTTTGGTTAACCGCAAGGGAAAACCGAAACCAATATTTGCGATTTTCGGTTAACCGAAGTCTCTGTCGGTTTCGGTTAGCGATCTTGGGACAATTTTGGTTTCGGTTAACCGATATTTCGGTGCGGTTAAACCGAAACCGCACCGACTAACACCCCTAATAGATACTACGACTTTGATACCAAAAAATTCTTCTTTACACATAAAGTCCCCAAAATTTCGCACAAGATTAAACCCAAACCCCTCTTAAGTCAACTACTACTATCACCGCTACAGCTACTATTGTGAATTGTCTTATATCTAGTTACATTACATACTCTCCCAAATCCTCCTATCCCCTAATTTCCTCAAACGCGGGACAAACAAACAGAACATCATCATCAAAAAGTCACCAAAAACTGAAAAACCGCCGCCTTTGGTGGTGGTTTTCCCCTTCCCTCTAGGTTTATTTTGCGAACTTCAATGTTTAGGTCATCCCCTTTCTTTTCGCCTAGGCAAATACTGCGCCGCAAGAGAGAGCCATTAAGACGAAAGCAGCTTGTTCTTCTTCCGCCAGCTTCCTTCTCCTCCTTTGGCAGCTCTGCTTCTTCACCACCACCTCTGAGGGATGCGGCTGCTGCCGCGCAACGGACGGGGGTGATCTTGGGACCATCATCCCTCCTCTCTTGCCGGAATAAACCACTCTGACCTTCACTGGGCCGGCGGCGGAGATGGTACTACTACTGCTGTTACTGCGGGCAGATACGGTCGCCACAGAGGAAGATTTGGCGGTGTCGGCTGTGGTGGTCGACTCGCTGGTACTTGTGGCAGCCGCGGAGGAAGAGGCTATCTGTGGCGGGGAGGGCAGCGGTGTGGCTCGTTTCTTGGCGGTGGGGTCTTCCATAGCTCTTCTCCGCTTCCTGAACCTGATTCCACAAGCGTTGCACAGCGACTGCGGAGATCAAGAAAGATATCAGGCGGGTAAATTCGTCACAACTGGAAGGAAAACGCTCCCAAATATCCAAAGATCGCGCCAAAATCAGATGGGTTTTGGGCGAATTTGGGGGGAAAATTGAAAGGAAGCAGTCGAAAACAAAATTACCCCGACCCAGTAGATTAAACCCGAATCCCTAATTAACCCAGATAGGAAAATTTTATTCCGAATCAGAAGCGAGAAATCGATTAAAACCTATGTAACTAGCAGAAATTTTGTACCAAACCCCCCCCCCCCCCCCCCCCCCCGGTCAATCAGTCAATCAATAGCAAAATAGAGCAGATCAACAAATCTAAGTCGTATACTAAAGAAAAAGAGTAGGGCAAGCGGTGGCGGCGGCAGACCTTTGGGCCGGCGGGTCCGCTTCTCCACAGAGGAGTCCTTGTAGTCTTACAGTCGCAGCAAACCTTCTTCTCCCCACAGTCTTCCTCAACGCTGCCCCCAGATTTCTGACCACGAGAAGAGCCCAAGTAGATCAGATCAGCAGAAGAGCTCAAACAAACAAGAACAAATGGGGACGAAACAGAGAGCAAGCTGAAGAAAAACATATATACCTCCATGTCGGGATCCATAGCACACAACAAATTCTCTCTCGGTGAAGACGAGCTTGCGATTACTTGCATGCAGGGCGATCGTGAGAACAGAGAAACAGAACAAAAAGAGTTTGGAGAGGGAGGGGGAAGAACAATGGCTATGGCGACAGAGCAAGAGAAATTAACGGAGGTGGGAGGAAAACCGACAACAGAGGATGTCTCTCGTCTGTGGTCTGCGACGCTCCGGTCTCTTTTTGGGTCTGGCGGCAGAGGAGAATTTGTAGTAAGGCGCGCGGTGGAGGGGATAAGGAAAGAGCAAATAAACCCTAGCGATTGGGGTTTTGGGGAGGAGCCGAGGATGGAGGGAAAGAGGGCAGTTTTTTTATGAAATGACGAAAGTGCCCCTCTATGGGGTTTTAGGTGACATAAGCACCCGCCAAGTTTTGGAGCTGGGAGCTTGCCACGTGGCCTCGAGGGATGATTATTTGTCATTCTGTTGGCTAATTCACCGCGTGATACTTCTATTACTATGGTTAATCCAATTCGTATATGTATTTTTCCAATGATGTACTATAAGTCTATAACGATTGGTGGTGGTAAGTAGTTTTCTGATTTGACTATCAGATCCAGTTCGATACGATTAACTATGTATTCATCACAATTTACTTATGATTTCTTAAATTTTTTTATTTTCTATTCTTGTGAAGTAATATCCATTCTCAAAGTACTTATGGAGCACATTTATTAGACACTCAATTTCTGAACAGACCATCGATTAATGGTCGCTTCCAACCTAAGTAACGAGGAAAAAACAGTTGACTTTAATTTCAAGAAAATGATGAATGCAAAGGAATGAAGAGGTCATGAATGGCAAAACGTTCTCTGAGCATGCGTTCGGTGTAAAATCTTGGCATGGTTTAATATTGATCGACAAACTCAACAGCCAAGAGAGAGGCTGGATGATGTTGAATACAATTAGATAAGACTTACTCTGATATTTTGACGTCTTCTCGACTAACCTAGACACTTGTCGATCAATTACACGAGCGAAGCTGAAAGGTGCAGAAAAAGGCCTCATTTGTGTCTGGAAAGCAATGTACAAGAAAGTTATCATGTGTATAGATTCAACAATGACAATTGGGATGATCTCAAACAGCAAGGAGTATGACCATGGGCATTAGGGGTGGTAGTTCGGTTTTCGGTTAGCGGCTAACCGGCCGGTTCAACCGATAACCGTCGGTTAGCGCCTAACCGAAAATCAATATTTATCAAAGGCGGTCGGTTGTCGGCACAGAGATAGGTCGTTTCGACTCGCCGAGTAACCCAAGTTGGTTTAACCGGCTAACCGAAACACCTCTCATCAATGCTATATACGGCACAGTTTCAACAATTTCAACCCTAAAAACAAGCCAAAGGCCAACCCTACCTGCCTCTTCATCTCCCCCTGCCGCATCCAGCACTCCTCCCATTCCCAGTGACCCGCCGGCACGGCACCTTACCCCCCGTGACCCCCGACTGCCGACCCCCTAGCGAGCCCCGACCCTTCTAGTTTTTTACCAGCGACCCCTGACCTGTGCGACCCCTCGCTGACCCACGACCCTCGTCGACTCCCAGCAACAACAACAGAAGAAGAAAGAGAAACAAGATGAAAACAAAGACAAGTAGAAGACCGTGCGCCGCCCTTGCTCTTCCCGCCGACCGCGCACCGCTGCCGCTTCTCTTCCTTCATAGAAGTAGAAAAAGAAGAGAAAAAGAAGAGTTTGGAGGGTAGCAGTTTAGGAGAGGCAGGGAGAGGAGAGAAGAAGTTCTGGTTTTTGTTATTCTTGGGAAAACAAAGAAGAGAGAAGAAGAAGATAAGAAACGTGTGGGCTTCCTCTTCTCTTTTTTTTTTTATTGCTAGCTGATAGACCGATAATTACACATGTTTTCACCCCTTTTCTGAAGCCGTTTGAGATGTGGATTCTCGTGTTTTAAGCCGATTTCACGTGAGGTTGTACGTTTATGTCATATTTCAGGACTTGGCGGTGGAATCGAGGCAAAGGAACGAGATTTGGGTCGAAAGGAGCAAGTGAGGCTTGAAGTGTGCTGGAGAGCCAAAATACCCGGCCAAAGGCAGGAATACCGACCGGGTATTTTCTGGCCATGGTCGGGTATTTGTCACTTTGGGCGTCCGTGAGAAACAGAAGGGGGCCCGGGCAGGAGGCTTAAATCCCCGGTCGGGGATTATTGAGGCAGACCGGGGATTCTAGCCTGGCATGAAACGCGCGTTTTGAGCATACCCGGTCGAGACCCAAAATACCCGACCGGGTATTTCGACCGGGTATCGCGATCAGGCAGCAGATTTAAGAGAAAGGAAGGCCAACATTCAAAGGTTCCGAGTTTTAGAGAGACAGAGCGATTCCTAGAGAGAGAAAGCGACGAACCAGAGTTCCCAAGTGCCATAGCTTGATCTTCATCACCATTGGAGCCCGGCTTGAGCTTGGAGAAGTTCCGATTAAACGTCCAGGAGCAGAAATCCATCTTCACAGTATGATTTCCGCGTCTGAATCCGCTTTTGCTTCTTTCTCTATGGAGTAGTTTCCCCATTCATCTGGGTATGGGGAACCCTAGATTTGTATGCTAGGTCGATTGTATGAACCCAAGTACGGAGTTTATGAATTGATTATATTCGATTGAGGTTTGAATGATTGAATGACTTGAATCCTGATCAAATTCCTGTTGTTTCTGCTTTGACCTAGAATGAGAATATCTGCCTAGGTTTATAGAGTATCCTTAATTGAAGGTAGCGAATTGGTGACTTTAGTCGAGGAGCCAATTCGCTATTCTGTACCGAATTCAATTCGGTAGTGGAGGTTTGGTTCGTTAGGGCCTCAATCTGTTTACTCCGGTGGAGGTTAGTCGCCCGCTAGAGACTCAGATTGAGAGGGTCTGAAGACCTTTAGTCGAGACTTCAGACTATTTAAGAACCTTCCGCAGTATAACTTTCATGAAAACTGAACTTGGTAAATTGCAATCCGGCTTAACTGCGGTCTAGGGGGAACCATATCCGGGTGACCTCTCTTGACTTGAACAACCGTTTAACTTGCTTTGCGTTTTTGTTTGTTTGAATATGCACCAAAAGTTCACTGCTAGATAACGAGCATTCACCGAGTAGTCATCACATCTAGGACCCGGGTTGACAATAAAACCCAAACCCGCTATACTACGCTTTAGGAAGTGGTTACACTTGGCCATTTTCTAGAGTGACAGTAGGAGTGAGTCACTAGCTAACAAAACAAGAGAGAAGAATACGTGGGTGGGGTGGTTTTTTTTTTTTAAAATAAATTCAGTTAATTGCGGTATAACCGAACCAAAATCGAAAACCGGCCGGTCGGTGGTTGGCTACCCATAGCTTTCTCACGGTCGGTGTTCGACAGCTATATGGGTCGTCTCGATCTAACCGATAACCGAAAAATTGTTTTTGATTAAACCGAAACCGACCGACTGACATCCCTAATGGGCATGGCATTCTGGCGTAGGAGATGAACCAATGCTGAATTTTTAGTGGGATGTTATAATCCAACAAGTCTGTAGAGAATATATTATGCAACATATTTCCTAACTAGGAAAGGACATAATGATTTGGCACACATCTCATCAATGTGAGTAACATGAATATCAAATCCTTCATTTATGACGTAACAAACATTGCCCAAGAACGTTATATTCATAGTTATTTTACATACCGTAGATGTTTTTCGTTTAAAAAACAAAGCAAAAAGGCAAAGGTTAGAGGTGGACCCGCATATATATAAAAGGTTTGTCCATTGACAAATCTTGATTCAATTTTGAAACAAAAATTCTTTGTAAATTTTTTTATTGTAATTAAAGTAGTATTTGAACTAAAAATTATTTGATAACCTTTGGTGATTTTGTTTTATCACTAAATACCGTTAATGTAATTTCTAGTTCCGTCACTAACAAAGGCTTATAATAAAATTCGTTACTCCACTATCCAATCCATTGCTCCCCATAACCCAAACCACTACCAATAAGGTTATTTCATATTTTAATCCCTAATTTCTAATTGTTACAAACCGTCCCAAGTGGAGCAACATCTTGGGGTGCATGCAAGAAAATCTTCCATGTGAGTTCGTAACTTCCGTCTTCGTTATCAACAACGCCTATTTCGGTTAAATCACACACTTCAACTCAAATCCTGACTGTGCCATTGATTAGATCATTGTGACTACACCACTGATTAAATCACGATCCTTGCATAACTTTTAAGCTATAATTCTCTTTGTGAGCAGGTCTATAGAAACAAACAGATACTAAGCTAGCCAATAGTACCGACCAATTTGGTGTGTGGTCCTTAGAATATCGGAGTTGCTAAAGGTCTCCATTAACATTGCTAAAGGTCGCCCTAAAAAATATCAAAGTTACACTTTTAACCTTTAGCTTCTTTACCTTCCTTTTAGCAAACAAACACCTCTTAAACTAATAAAAAAACTATTCAATGAGATGGAAGGAGAGAAAGAATCCACTTATTATTAAATTTTTATTATTATAAATTATCATACTTAATTTGCATACAAAGAAATAATTAATTAAATTACAAAATGTATTATATATTTAAATAATTAATTAACAACAGAAACTAAAATTGCAAAAAGAAAAAAGAAAAACACCAACCGCGGCTTCACCGTCGGCCAACCGCTGCAAACGTACGGTAGGTCCATCGGTCGACCGCGGTCAACACGCGGTTGGACCATCAGTCAAACGCGAGTTGACTGCGTTCGACCGATGGTTCAACCGCGCGATGACTGCAGTCGGCCGATGGACCAACTGCACATAGACTGCGCTTGTCCGGTGGGTCAATCGGACTTCGACTTCGGTCGAGGTTCTCTGGCGATGACTTGCGCGCGGGTAGGAGAGCGGATGGCCAATGACAACATGCGTGGACGACGAAGTAAAAACAGTAAAAAGGTGATGGTTCAATTTTAGGCTCCCCATGCAAGCCCACGGACCCTCGTAGGGTCAGATCGCAAGGTGATGGTTCAATTTTAGGCTCCCCATGCAAGCCCACGGACCCTCGCAGGGTCAGACCAGCGATCCCCTGTAATCCCATGACTTTTGGAGCGAGAGGATAGGTTAGGTAGCAGGCCCAACCCGCCCCGTAGGGCTTTACCTCCACTCTAGGACGATAACTCCAGAGCCGTTCAACGATATGTCCCCGCAGGGTGCAGCCTGAAGCAAACTCAACTCCAAAGCCATCGGAGGGGACAGACCATCTGGCCAGAATTTCCGCCGCGAGAAAATCCAAGCTGGCACAGGTCCCCGGGTCTCCGCTTCCATCCCTTTAATGCCCCCAAACTGGGTCACAAGCCAGCGCTACCAGGCTCGGCGACTCAACCGTCTCCAGTGTCCTAGCAAAATAGGGCTTTTCCATTGTAGAGGATAGGTTAGGTAGCAGGCCCAACCCGCGACTTCCATCCCTTTAATGCCCCTAAACTGGGTCACAAGCCAGCACTACCAGGCTCGGCGACTCAACCGTCTCCAGTGTCCTAGCAAAATAGGGCTTTTCCATTGTAGAGGATAGGTTAGGTAGCAGGCCCAACCCGCCCCGCAGGGCTTTACCTCCACTCTAGGAGGATAACTCCAGAGCCGTTCAACGATATATCCCCTCCTGAAGCAAACTCAACTCCAAAGCCATCGGAGGGGACAGACCATCTGGCCAGAATTTCCGCCGCGAGAAAATCGAGGCTGACATAGGTCCTCGGGTCTCCGCCCAAACCGGTTCCATCCCTTTAATGCCCCCAACTGGGTCACAAGCCAGCGCTACCAGGCTCGGCGTCTCAACCGTCTCCAGTGTCCTAGCAAAATAGGGCTTTCCATTGTACTGTTCCTCGATGTGGTATGCAACAAATTAATTGACGCCGACGGCGCAACCCGGAGACACTATTATATATCCTCTTAGCACTGCTAGAATATACAGAATCAGGTGCTCTTCAATTTATGGGGTACACCGTACACGTGACACGTGACAATTTACAAGATTGTAACATCGATGCAATATATTCATGTGTTTTTTTTAATTTCTCTCTCATCAAAATCAAATTAAAGCTCGCGATTATTTTGAGATGAAAGTAATTATGAAAATGGCAATGAACAAGAAATAAATGCATAGAAATAAATGAGAAAAAATGCATAAAGTGAAACTTGGGCACAATAAAAGGAATGAACGTTGTCGTTCAAGTTGAGATGGCAGCTGGTAAATGAATTGAGTTCATTGATTTGTGGATTTATCAAGTTGGATCAAATGGATTGGTCATTTGTCGTCCAAATAGAGGTGACAACGGGCAAACAAATTGATTTCATTGATTGGTAGATTCATTAAGTTGGATCAAATGATTTGTGAGTTGTCGGACAAATAGAGGTGACAACAGGTATATGAATTTATTTCATTGATTGGTAGATTTATGAAGTTGGATCAAATAGATTGGTCAATGGTATTCTAAGTTGAGGTGACAACTGCCAAATGAATTGATTTCATTGATTGCTGAATTCATCAAGTTGGATGAAGTTGGTGAATTGCCATCAAAGTAAAGGTGGCAACTTGCAAATGACTTGAGTCCAATGATGGGTGAATTCATGCAGTTGGATCAGATAGATTGGTGAATTGGATTCATGAATTCAAATGACATTTAAACATTGAAAATATATGCAAATTGCGAAAGGGCTCAATTGCAAGTTTGATCACTTGAATTACTAGTAAACTTCACATTAGCCACTAGAATTATTTTATTCCATCCATAGTCACTAAAATTAGGTTAACAATCCAAATTTGGTCACCGGCCGTTAGTCTCTGTTAACTTTTGCTGATGTAACGGTCAACTCGTAGAGTTAACCGTTAAATGAATGACGTGGCAATTAAAAAAATAATAAAATATAATTATTTTTTATTTTTTCAACTAAATATTATAGATTAAAAAAAGAAAATCCTAATTATTTTTCAACTAATTAAACATTGAAATATATGCAAATTGCAAAAGTTTATGCACTAAAATATCATACCAAATTTTTTTAATACCACCAAAACACAATTTTCGAATAGCAATTTACATAAAACAAAATTAAAATTTAGATATAAAAAAGAAAATAGTATAAGTACTGAACTGTACTTCAAATCTCCATGAATCAAAGTGACTTCCGTAAAAAAATAACTTCCGAAAGAAACTGTGTCCGTCACTGTACAGCAGCTAAAACCGACTTCTCCTCAATCCATGCACATTACAACCTGTTTGAAATCAAGAGAGTACCAAACAAGAGCTTCAAGTGCTCAACAAAATCAAAATCAAAATCAAGCAGTACCCTCTTAAAACTGCAAAGACCTTTCTGCATTTCCAATAACCAAAATCCATTACACTTTCATTACATCTCGACTTCACAGTAAAACATCAACTCGCTCGCAGCAAACAAAAGCTATACCATTCAAAAGGTAAGAAAACCAAAAAAAAGAAGGAAACAGACTCATCCTCGGGTATTTGCCATCATAACTACAAAAAGACTCAATCTTAAGGAGGAGGATTCTGCGAGTTCCAAAATCATGAGGGGAAGAGATGAATAAGACCCAAACTGATTGTGGAAAGCGAATAAGACATTCCGTAGATAGACTCGATGACTCGACAACCATGATAATGTCTTACGAAGAGGGCTAAAATCTCGGTGGACTAATCACTTCCCATTACTGAGAAGAAATATGGAATCGGGGTTCCTCAAGTCGTTCGTTTACTGCTACGCAGCAAAGTGCTCAAGACCCCGAACCAAACCCAGCTCCCTTTAGACTTGACACCCTGGACTGGACAACTGGACCAAGACGACCCAAACCCCGACTCAAGACCCGACCCGACCAGACATGACCTGACCTTTGACAAGTACCCCCGAGACTGATGGAAGACAGCTGACCAATCTGCAAGAAAAACAAAAACTGGTAAGCTGATTCATTGGGACACGCCTATACACAGTTCAATTCTGCTTCCATACTACATATAGTCTGAAAAATAAGCCAAAAAAACGGACAGAATGGAACACAATAAACTACTGGGTTGACTATGGTTCTCATTTTTTAGGTTATTTTCCATCCGGTCCAATTCTAGACCAGACCATAAAATGCAGGCCCATACTCATAGATGCTGCAAAAAAGAAAAATCTCAGGTTTCTCTTATTTGAAAGTCAAAAGGGTAAAAATGTTCGTACATTTAGCTGAAGTTGAATCCACCAGGAGGAACTGCAGGATCACTGCCACCGAACTGGAAACCAGATTGAGCAGCAGTATCACCAGGTGGCATTGTCTCATCTTCCTCCTCCAACCAATAAGTCTCGAGAATTCTGACGGCCTTCTCATAAATCTCAGTGTTGTCATGAGACTGCAAGTTTTCAATTTTCTCCAAACCTTCAGAATCATCAATCAACTGGGCATACTGATTTACTCCACCAGTGTTGCCAAGATTCTTGTCGGCCTCTCCAACCTTCAAGATGTTCTCGAGGCCTTCAAGACATACTGTTACAATTCTGGGGTCAGGGCAGATGAGAAGGTCGCACAATGGCTTGATGCAGCCTTGGCTAACAAGGTACCTGTATCCAAACAAGGAACAAGCAAATAAGAGCGATGCATCATTAAAGCAAGAGATTTTGTTTGTTATGGTGTTAGACAGAGTGATCTATCATTATGATAAAAACAAGCACACCACAGAAATCGTTTTAAAAAGGGGAAGAAAGACGAGCATCAAATCCTTACTTGATTTGGTCATGGGTACCACCAGAGGTCGCATTAGAGATTGCCCAAGCAGCTTCCTTCTTGATATCGAATTCAGCATTTTGCAAAAGATGGACTAATGGGCCGATGACATTAGCCTCAATTACACACTGCAAGATAAGGCGAAGGCATCAATCAAATGTAAGTCAAATAATCAAAAATATAATCATGATCAACAATCGATTGCTATGGAAATTTTATACAAAAAACATACCTGAATCTGCTCCTTGTTACCAGCAGTTATGTTTGAGATAGTCCAGCAAGCTTCCTTCTTGATGCTCTTCTTATAGTTGTTGGTCAGCAAGTTGAGAAGACAAGGAAGTGCTTGATGATTGATGATACACTATCAAAAGTCAAGGGAAAGGGAAAAGAAAACAACGAGAAGAACTAGTCAACATCACAAATATTATCCAACATCCACTGAAGCAAGAATCATAGCCAATAGTGTAACTACATCACCCAGACTTCAGCAGCCAATCAGGAAACCAAAGCAGAGTTTCATTACATTATATCACATCGGAATACACAAGTCAAGAACATTCATTGATTCCCATAAACCAGATATAACTTCCAGTACCTGAGTTTGCATATCATCACCAGTGACAATATTTCCAACAGTCCGAAGTGCGGGAATGAGAACAGAAGGAGAAGGGTGCCTGTAGGAAATAGTTGTGAGCTGTTTAGCAGGTTGTCGAGCAATAATCATAATGTAAAAGTTCTGAATTCCCTCTAGATACTAATATAATAAAGAACATGGATGAGGAAGTACAGCACTCACAACAAGAGTTCAACCAGGCGAGGGCAAACACCAGCTTCAATGACAGCTTGAATTTTGTCATTGGTACCATCAGATAGATATGAAAGTGCCCAACACGCATCAGTCAATACCTCTTCATCATTAGAATGAATAAGCTGTGCAAGGGCTGGAAGAGCAGGCTTAACCTGTTGCATTAAACAAATAGTGTAAGAAAAACAAATATGTGGACAGACTACAAGACCATAAGTCTTGACAAACATATTAAACTATACAACTTCCAAATCTATCACACGGTATTCATGAACATAATCAACCATCTAAGGAGGTGTGTAGCAAAAGCTTATCACCAATCTAAAGAGAAGAGGAAAGATTTTAAACAAAACCTGGTCGAATGGAGGCTGTGGCTTCCCACGACAGAAGTTCGACAATGTCCATGTAGCATTTCTAAGCATCGATAATTTTGCATGCTCATTAAGCTGAGCTAGCAGTGGAAGCAAAGCTCCATTGCCAAGCACAAGATCACGGCATCTTGGAGAATCCCCAGCCACATTTCCTAGAGCCCATACAGCCTGATAATAAGAGGACAAATATGAGAAACAAGAAAGACAAACAATTCCAGAATCACTGCAGCAGTATAAAAAAAAAAGTCCCCATAAGTGTACCTGCTCGCGGACATCGTCACTTGGTGAACCCAGAAGCTTTACAAATATTGGCACAGCACCATGATCAATCACAACTTTAGTATTATCAGATGTTCCAGAAGCAATATTTGTAAGCGCCCAAGCTGCTTCAAACTACAAGAGATTTCAACCAATTGGATTCTAAAAGATAACAGTTAATTTCAAATAAAAAACACAGACAGGGTTGGCATCCCACAAACCTGAAGCTGGGGAAAGTCCTCTCTCATTAGAAACTCGACGAATCGTGGAACAACTCCAGCTTGTATGACTTCCTCAATCGGAGGGCTCCGCTCTGTCATTTAATCAAAGGGTACACAAAATCTCAGCAACCAAGGAATGGAGAAACAAAACGTAGATAAGAAACACTTTATGCAGAGCCAAAAGATCACCAATCGAGAGCAACTTTCTGAACTGTGTTGTTGCCTCGAGCTGCAGATTGCCATCATCAGACCAAACACCAGACACCATAGAAGGCAGATGCTCCAACTGCATGCAAACAAAATGATAGTACAGACAATTAAGTAAAACAGCTGTAAATAAATTAGTCATTCGACGACATATTAGCCAAACTCCGCCACAACAATTCAATCATGCATAGGCAAAACACCAGATTGATTCGGAACCCTAATTCCAACTAACCCAACCATCCGAAACATATTACAGGGATAAACCAGTCGATCAGTATTATCACAGCTAAACTCTGCAAGGCCGATTCAATCACATATCAATCGAACAAAGCAACCGACCATATTGATTCAAAACCCTAACTCCAACTAACCAAACCCCAAGAATCCCAACGAAATTACGATCGGAACTTCTTTATCAACCACCGAACAATTAGTGAGCCGCAATCAGTTCATCTCATGTCTCTCGATTAATTAACAAAACTATAGCGAACAGAAAAAGTAAAAGTAAAAGTAAAAGAGATAAGAGCCACAAAGCAAACCTTCTTCTCGACAGCAGTAGAGTGCATCGAGGCAGGCATGGGCTGAGCAGCCAGTCCCTCGCGTCTCTTCTTCTGGAGGCTCTCCTCTCTCCGATTCTTCCGGATCTCCACCATGTTATCCTCCCTCCTCCGCCGCCCTTCCTCCGCGTCGACGGCGACCTTGTACCTGTTCTTGCGGACCTCAGTCCTTGCGTTCGGCCTCAACGACATCGTGATACAAAATTGGACTAAGACACCGACGGCCGAGGCAAACAAACACCGCCACCAACACTGCCCTCTGCTCCTCCTCGACGAAGATCGAAGGGAAATTAGGGTTTTGCAGAGATCGACTTCGATTCGATTTCGTCACTTGCAGGTTTTCTTGTGAGAACAAAGGCTCACTCCTAGAAAAATGACAGAAATAAAGGGGAAGAGTGGACAGTGTGAGAGGAAAAAATTTATATATTGAGTGGAGGAAGCGTCGGAAAGTGGTCGTGGATCGGACGATTATTACGAGATATGCCACTCCAGAAATTTGAATTTCGAAGGGTGAGGGGAAAATAAAAATATATATGAAGGAGAGAGAAAAAAAAGGTGACTTTGCCCTGACCTGGAGCGGGCCCCAGCAGGCAGCGAGACAATTTGCTCTTTCTATTAGTCTTTTCCAACGGCGTCGTATAATGCCTGGAACTATTTCTTGAAGAGTAATTATCGTTGTACTTTTTGATTTTACTTCAATTAGCAGAGCGGCCAGCCTCGGATAAATGACACAAATATTGTTTTTTTTAATTTACCACCAATATGGCGGATTAAGAAGTATTTACACAGATATTGTGTTTTGGAGACAAAAAATGGCGACAACACCTGGGACTCAGGCGCCGCCGCTGTGGATGACATTTTGGATCGTTTTATTTTAAGTGACAGCGGCGGCGCCCAAGACTCAAGCGGCACCGCCTGAGACACCAGCGTGTTAGGTGGGAAATTGTCCCAGGCGGCGGCGCCCGAGACTAAGTTGGCGCCGCCTGAGACATCAGCGAGTTAGGTGGCCACCCCCCTATATAAACCCAGCCAATTTTGTTTCAGTTTCACACCACAAAAAAATCGTCCAAAACAAAGGAGAGAGCTCTGGTTGCTGCTGCAAAAATGGCTAATAGGTAAGAGACACATTTATTTTTGTAATTATATTATTCAAATGCTATTATGATTGTGTTTAGTTTTAATTAGTGAGTCTGTTTTTTTTTTGTAGTGATTTTAGAAGATTTGAACTAGCCGTTCGATGGAAATCAGAGAAAGTAGAAGATAATTTGGGCGTCAAATTCGTTGGTGGTAGTAGTTTTCAGATGACGATTCCATCCAGGGTCACATATCATTATCTTTGTGAGAATCTAATTTCGAGAATACGGCGTAGAGACGAAGCAGTACAAGATAGTGATGTGATCACAAGTTTCACTTACCGTCTTCCAGAATGGCAGAATGGTGTTTTATTTCATTATGCAATGCCTATTGTGGATGATGATAGCTTGAATGTGCTTTGGAATTTTATGGCACAAAATCCTTATTGTTTGGGTGCTGAGATACATGTTGAGCTCAGTGAGGATCAGGGTGGAGAGGAAGAAGATGATACATGGAGCGTGCCATCCGATCATGCCTATGATGACGGTGATGACGGAGAGGAGGAAGATGAGGAGGAGGAGGCGGAGGAGGAAGAGGAAGAGGGGGAAGGAGTGCCTAATTATCCTCCATATTTTTACTTGCAGGGTAATGAAGAGGACGAAGAATACTCACTTGTTGATTCATATGGCGTAATTCCAATGCCTATTGCTGATAGTTTTGAAGGAGAATTCTACAAGGGGCAGATGGCGATTAAACACCACGCACTATAACGCAACTTTCAATATGGCGTGGTGGAGTCGTCACCTTCAATCTGGAAGGTCAGATGCTTGAGGCACAAGGATGACAATTGTCCTTGGATGGTGCGGTTTGGATGTCGAGATGCTGGAGGCGAATGGACTGTGAGAAAGGCTAAGTTGGTGCATTCTTGTAGCAGTACGACTCAACCGACAGATCATCGCCATCTTGATGTCGACATGATAGCTGAGGCCGTCAAACATTTGGTACGTGCCCAACCAAATCTGAGTGTTCTAACTGTGCAAGCCGAGTTGAAAGATAAGTTTAATATGCAAGTTACTTACAAGAAGGCTTGGTATGGGAAACAAAGAGCATTGGAGAAGTTTCATGGAAATTGGGAAGAATCCTACGATTTTTTGCAGACATTCTTGCGGGTAGTCAAGAGAAAAATGCCAACATCGGTGATTGATTGGGTAAGAGTTCCTTCGACTCAACCAGGTCATTCGATATTTCAGCGAGTATTCTGGGCTTATGGACCTTGTATAGATGGATTCAAGAATTGTTCGGGCGTCATGGTTGTTGATGGAACATTTCTTACTGGGAAGTATAAAGGAGTGCTACTCATGGCGAGCTCATTTGATGGTCGGAAGAAAATTTTTCCAATTGCATTTGCCATAGTGGAGAGCGAGAATACTGAGAGTTGGCCATGGTTCATAAGGAACGTTCAGGGCCGAAAGCCATCGAAGACCACGTGGATGTGCATCCTCGGTGGCCTATGCCCTCGTCTCTGAATCTCGAGGTGCCAGATGTGGGAATCGCTCCCACGCCCAGAACTGCAGTAGGGCAACCCATCCACCAAGGTCACCGGCTAGAGAAGTGTCGGTATGCGTAATGTGCAAAGTCGACCTACCCATCTCACGGTACAGGTAGGATAAAACAGCAGCTCTCCAGGCGAACTCTCCAGCCCTCTCCCAATCCTCAATCAGAAGTAGGTATTGTAGGTGCACCGTAGATCCAGACCGATCCGGGAAAAGTACACCTCCAATCAGAGATAGAGCATAAGCTCGTGCAAACTGCTCTATAACCTCCTGTGATGCATCTTCCGGCAGATGACTGAATTCAACCCTCAGCCAAACAATCCTAACAACACCGACACCGCCTACAAGATCAACCGGAACCCATCCTAACAGTCTCAAACAGATCGCCGACCACTCCTCATCCGGTATATCAACTACGACGGCATCACCGTCGATCGCCAAACCGGACAGTGTAACAACGTCCTCTAACGTGATCGTGATCTCACCACACGGTAGATGGAAGGTCGACGTCTCGGGTCGCCACCGCTCTACGAGCGCAGTAATCAAACTCGCATCGGGGTTCATAGGGACTAAGGGCACAACACTTAACAAGCCTGCCGCTTCGAGATATGGCCGATAAAGCTCACGGTAAGGTACTAAAATGGTCGTACCTCGAACATGGTAAGATCGATCATCAGCCTATAGTGCACAAAACTTATATTAATTCATCTTCATTCGTAATAATTCTAATTTCACCTAATTAATTCTAATCTATCTAATCTAATATCAAATTATACTAATTTCAAAAAATCTAATACATAATCCTATTCTCTAACAGTACAGTTCAATTCACCAACTAAAATAATCTAATTAGCTAATTAACTTTACATGAATAATTATCAAATACTTACCTCGTTTGTCCAAACAGAGTCAATACGATGTTGGCCATGTCCCCAAAGAAGTGTCGCATTGACCGGACCTGGATCAATTGTCGCAGGCGGTAATCTCATCGAATAAGGATCCATAAGCCTAGGAACTGCAAAAACAAAGCAACAAAACATTAAAAAAAAACACAAACCATTAAAAAAAAAATAAAACCGCCGACGAGAGTCTCACCGCGCAAACGGCTGCCACGACCTCGCCGGCCTCTCCCCCTGCCTCTGTCGGCGGCGACTTCTTCTTCGTCGGAAGACATCTTCTGTCGGTAGGAGCGGTGGCGCTTCACCAGTCAGCGGCGGCGCTTCAGACTCCAGCGGCGGCTCCCCTCTCTGCGGCGGCGGCGCTCCACTCCCCAGCGGCGGCGCTCCTTGCTGCGGCGACGGCGCTCCACTCCCAGGTCGCGGCGCTCCACTCACAGGCGCCGGCACCTCAGTTGGCGGGGCTAGCGGTTCTCTGGTTCGGGCGGGAAGAAGGAGGAAGAGGAGGAGAGTGTGTGGAGGAGGGAAGAGATAAGGGGTGGAGGGGGGGGGGGGGCCCGAGCCCGAGGGGAATTTAAAAAAATAAAGGCTGATGCGGCGGCGCTAGGGACTCGGGCGCCAGCGCCCAAAGCTTTGTAAGCAGCGGCGGCGCCTGAGTCTCTGGTGTGGCCGCTCCAGCCTTTACTAAAAACACAATATCTGCGTCAATTGTTTTTAATCCGCCATATTGGTGGTAAATTAAAAAAAACAATATTTATGTCATTAACCCGCCAGCCTCTTGGCTGAAAAAATTTTCTCGAGTAATATATTATATAATAGATTATATGAAATACATAAAATTATTGTTTCCTATCTATGTTATAAGTGATCCAACTATGCATAATTTGTTTAGACCTCCATGAAAAAAGAAAAAAATATAAGCATTACATATTAACTGGAAAAAAATATAACTAATGGTCATTCATTACTTAATTAAATCATATAGTTGAATATTAGAGTTGCTTCTCATAATACATATATAATTAACCTTTAGGATGAAAGCAAATGTCTCATAGAGTTTAGTATGTCTTTAAGTTTTTCCCAATTGAGAGCATTCTTTTTACCACACTATTGGTAATAAATCTGAAGTTGCTTTATTTGAAATATATAGGACATGATGTTAAGTTGTCGCTAATAGTTAGTTGGACAATGTGTTGTGTACATACTTACCAAATTATTCTCAGATCGTAGACATGTCTAGCAACAATGTAGTAATTTTCATGAAGCATATATTTTTTTCATGAAATAATTTAATAAATAAAAATGTATGAAAATAATATTATATGAAATATGCTACTCATTAAGTTGATGAATGAGCGAGAGTATGAGTAGCATACATTTGTTTTAAAAAGGTAGAAGTTGCAAAGTGTCTTTTGGGTTCATGAGATCGCATATTCTCATTGTCGCTAACTGACTTATGCTTTTTTGCAATAGATAGTTCAAAATTCACCTTAAAACTTTTGTTTCCACCAGTTTAAAAGAATTGTTTGGACCAAAGGATTGTAAAATCGTATCGAAAAAGTTGGTAGTAGAGTATTTTATACTGAGTCATAATTTAACTGTGGTTCAACCGTTTCATATTGCTAAATATAACATATCGATTTAGCCTATGATATGAATCGCAGGTACGTACGATCTTTAAATACAAACTTTAAAAAAAAAACACTAAAATATTGACATTATGAAATACCATTTAAATCTCATAAATTACAATATTCCTATTAAAGAAAAAATCTTCCAAATGATAATATTGATTTGGGATTTTAAATTGAAATGAAAAAATATGTCAAATATAATGTCCTCTCCTAAACTAAATCAAAAATCAACA